CTTAAGAGCCCCCTTTGGTCCCCCCCCAAAAATACCCTCTTTTTTTTTTTTTTTTTTTTTTTTTTTTTTTTTTTTGTTCTAATTGAAAATTAAAAGATAAGGAAGATAAACAGATGTTAAGAAAATAAATAGCTCTTATTATTGTAAGTGGAAACAAAGATTTGCACCATTAACTTTTGAGTTCACATAAAAGCAAAGCCTACCAACAAACAATTAGCAACCAGTAGCATTAAAGTGCAGGATTTATGTGCAGCATAGTCATTTACATAAAATTTTAAAGAAACGGTTAAAATTTAATTACATTTAAATAAAACATCGAGAAGGGTTTCTCACAGGAGAAGGGGACCGTTGGCCGTCTGACTCCATTCCATGGATTATCCCAGTGGTTCCCAAACTTTTTCTTCTGCGCCCCCCCCAGTGGTTTCCAAACATTTTCTGTGCCCCCCCCACGACGCGTGTGACGGGGGGGGGGCATCGACTTTTTTGGGGGCAAAATGAATGTACGTAGCTGAAAATAGACACCAACATCGGTAGCCTACAAGGTACTTGTTAAGCTTGTTAAGCTGAAGGTTCTGTATTGATATTAGCTAGTCATCTTTTAGCTAACATTACCTGCATCTAACAGCTTTACTCAACTCAGTCGGTTAGTTTGGAGGGAAAAACTGTGAAAAGTTCTTTGCATTTTGCTGGTTTGCTGCCGTGATTCTAACACAAACCTACGTAGCTCCGCCCAGCAGCAGCAGGTCTCCTTCACAGGTGGAAACCCAGAGCGAGCGCCGTAGCGCTCATGTTGCGTTTAAAGGCGGCTCGGATAAACAGGTTACCACATGTCAACAACGGATTAAACAGTTTTAACTGCTGATAAAAGTGACAGAGGACACAAATATGAAAAGTTTGGATGCCTCTACTGTATCAAATTGACATAGGAATAACAGAGAGTTGGCCATTCTAAGGTAAAAACCCAGCGCATACAGTGTTCATGTTTTTTTTTTTGTTTTTTTTATCCAGACGGCTTCCCGCGCCCCCCCTGCAATGACACGGCGCCCCCCTTAGGGGGCGCGCCCCACAGTTTGGGAACCTCTGGATTATCCTGATGTGGTGAATGGATGAATGATTGGATTTGTGAAGGACTCATATCACATTGTCCTTATGCATCTCAGGCTTCACACTTACGTTAGTCTGTGCATCTTAGTCATATATGCTGATAGGGATGAGTTAAAAAGTACCTAAACCACTTGGATGCATAAGTCCAAAAGTTGTTTATCTTATATCATTATTTTTGTATCTGAAAAATAGTATCACTTATGACGGTGGCAATTCATAAAGTCATCACCAGCCAGCTTCCATCTGTTCTTCAGTCTTTTAGGCATATTTGTGGATATAATATCTTTATTTGTCCATTGGGTACACTAGATCTCTGGACACAGTTTGAATAAATGGTCAGATGCTCAAGACACAAATGTGTCAAAGAATGGAGGTGATGCGTGGCTGGGGCTGTGCAGGCCAGTTGGGAGTTTTAGGGCCATTCATCTGGTGCACTGTGAATTTGTCCAGAGAGCCTAATCTTTAAGTCACGACCACCATGTAACTCCACATGGAGTTACCATTTCCACTGCGGAGACAGAATTGTCCAGGACAGATTCAGCTGTAATAAGATGAACCGGCAAAATGATGCAATAACCGGATAAAACTTTCATTCATGTCTGTTCATGCTCCAAATGCAACATTTGGAGTTAAAAGTAACAATCCAAAAACAGTTGAAATCAAGAACAAGCTGGTTAAGGGATTTGCAAAGCATCTGCTTGAGCATAAAACATAATCTTTCTGTCTGCACATGAGCATTAATCAAATAAGATTTTAAAACCAACACTGCAAACATGCATTAGCGATGATTTCGTTACTATCTTTCAAACACAAATGTTCATTTGGGAACATATTGGATGTTTTGATCATCAGTTTGTAAAATTAAGCATAACAGATAAAACATAAGCTCAGCGGCCACTTTACTAAGCACACCTGTTAAGTTACTGGTCAACACAAAAAGGGATTTAGATGATTATTATGTCAGCATCGCTGCATATTTGGACATCAAGACTTCAAACTTGTGAAGACCATTGTAACCCGGAAGCCTGGGATTTTATCAGGACTCTGCTTTCTGTGGGTTGAAACTGTCTAATTGCCTCAGAGTATAAACTGAGTTGATGATGGAAACTGACATAGTAGATATCGCGAAGGACAAACTCTTTTCCTAGTTTTCTTCTGCTCTTCTTTTCTCTGTCTAGAATCACATTGTTTTTGACATTTTTTGGATTCCTTTTTATGTCTGGGATGTTTTTGAGTTCTTGTGCGAGCACTGTCAGAAAGGATTTCGTTCCACTGAAATTTGTCAAAATTTCACTGAATCTCAATAATTATTTTTCCTATTCAGTCTTAGTGCACATTTTTGTCCATCTGATGTATCTCAGATGGACATAATTTTGAGATGACTCAAAAATAATTAATTTCACTGATCGCTGCTTTGGCTTGTGTGTACTTGTGTGCTGTAATTGCAAGATACATAATCAGATGAGCTTGTTTAGCAACTCCAGCATACCTGAGGGACAAATAGCACAATCTTGGCAATCTACAGCTACTGGCCCAGTAAGGACTATTAGGATTATTGGCCCATATATTTAGTGTTCACTGCACATCGATTATCAAAATTTTATTTGTTGATAGGAAGAAATAATTTCACAATTCCATGTTTAATTCACTGGATTACTGAAGTGTGTTGATTGCAGTTGGATTGTGTGGTTAACAAATCTCTGCTTTCAGAAGCTCTATTCCGGAGGGTAAAATGTTGGACGCAATACTCAGTCTTGTACTTCGAATATTCTCTCAGGTCCTTTGAGTAAACAAATAGTTCCCTTTGGAATATTCGCTTCAAGTATTGTCAGCTTGTGAAGATGTCACTGTGATTATGTCTGGAGGTTTTGATGTCGAGATGGCGCACAACCACAAGGCCTCTGGAGTCACATAGTTCAAGCAGTCTGTGTGAGCATCCAAATCAGACATGTTGTTTTGATCTAATATAGCAACTTTGTCTGGTTTATGTTAAAATTTGATTCTGAATAATATTTTGTGAAGTCTTGTCCTGTTTCTGAGTATACTAGATGCATAATACTATGGTATTAGTATCACAGATGTGAGGTTCTGTTTACCTTATGACATTTCACAGGGTAGAAAGAACCGTAAATGTTGTTCCTTGGTCATCCTACCAGCCTCTTTTTCTACGCTTTACATTGAAACAATTACTTGCTTTAGGTATGGACTTTGTTAAATTTTAAATTTTACACAGGAGGTAATGTTTAGGTGTGACATATGTAATGCACCAGTTATGTAATATACCATTTTGACACTATAAAGCTTACTGGAAATTGTGTGCACTATAAACAGCCATTCTCCACTGAGAAAAGTGCCAAGCGAAACAAGACGGTTGTTAATGTTAAATTAACATTTGGAAACATGGCCAACAGGGACTGAATGGCTTTGTTTACTTCTTCCACTGCCGTTTCTAAACTACAATCATGGCCGACCACAATTCTGAAAGAGCACAGAAAAGAGGCGTTCTTCTCCTTTCATCTCTCTGATTTGTCTGCTTGAAATTCAGCCAGAAGTATTGAGCTCAATGAGAGAAATCCCTGATAGAGCTCTGAAGAGAAATGAAAATCAAGCGGAATTGCATGGGAAAGCAGTGGCCATGCTACTCTACATGTGGAAACTTTAATATAATGGACAGCATCACATCAAAGCTAGACTTCTTTTTTTTTAGCAATAGTAAAAAGAACTATTAAATCCTTTTTTTTCCCACTTTGTTCTGCTGGCTTGAGTCTAATGTGTTCATTGATATCTCTAGGAGCATTTTGTCTAAATGTGCATCTCTGTAAATCTTTTCTTTTTTTTTAGGTTTGTCTGAGGCAACAACATTTGGGACTTTCTCAGGAAAAGACGTTCCATCGCAAATTGCATCAAATGGACATATTATGAGACTGGAATTCCAGTCTGACCATTCCAATACTGGGAAAGGCTTCAATATCAGCTACACAAGTACGTAATGCACACCTGCTTAACATTATCTAGCAGTCTGTTTAATGATGTGTGCTCTACAAGCAGTTCAGGGAAATATCATCACAATGTCACTGGGACATAGTTGTCATGAAGCGTTCCACAATAAAAGCAATAATTACCACTGTTACTGCCTGATAAGTTTATGTTGGCTGTTTCAGGACACTTTAACAGCAATTTACGTTGAATACATAATTTAAAATGACAAGACATTTGAACTGGATATTCCTTAAACAATAATCAAGTTGATTTCTTTTTCATTTTTGTTATAAAAATGTTAATTTTTTTTGACAAAAGACATTTAAAAGTAATTATTAGGCAATTTCTGGTAATCATTCGAGCTTTCATAGAATGAGTAGAAATTGCTGGAAATTATATTTTTCTATTCTAGTTTGTTCTTTTGTCTCTTACCATGACCTTCAATTAGTTTGTCATGTATATGCTCCGGTAAATTCTTGCAGCGTATGTACGTCAGCTAACTTGACCTTGTATTTGTAAGTGACGGATAAGTCAAATTGAGTCCTTGAATGGTTTTGCAAAGACTATTTAGCAAAACTAATTTCAGATGCCCTACTGTAATGATGTCATCTGTAGTTGCAGCAGGTAAACCCAAGTACATATAAAAGTATTGAATAAACCTTTATAAAAGATTAGGGGCACATGAGTAGAATAGGGTTGAGCAAATCAAAATTTAGTTTTTGATTATTTAAGTTAAGCTGCAAGTACTTAACATTAAGTCTAAATCCTTAAATGAAGACTCTAGGATCCAGTAACGACGCATCAGTGACTAACTGCTGACGCTATCGATCAGTTTGATTAGCTCTGCTTCAAACCCATCGTCATCGCCTGCTTCATTCAGACCGACTTTAAAACTGACTACTGCAGCCTGTGTGTTTACCTGCAATAGGCTGAGCAAGTCCTGCATGACTGATTTTGATTCATTTTCTGTGATTACCATGCGGCTTTGCACCATTTCACACAGTGCCTCCATAAATGACCTTGTCTCCAGCTCTTCCTTTAGGGGTGACATTTGACAAATGAAACAATGATTGCTCCTTTTGTTTTAGCATATTTATAAAAAAAACAAAACAAAACAAAACAAAAAGACACCCTCACATGTAACCTTAATGCATGTGTTATTTATTTTTGTGTCGTTGAACACCACCGCATGTGTAGACGTGGAAGACGTTTCCATTCCTGTGCTTTTCCTTCATGGAATTTTAGACTTTTTAATTAAATACCTGTAGAAATAATTAACACAAGCTGTTTTTTCTCCAGTTTTAGTAATTTGGGCTATCATCATTTTAATGTTGGTATTAGTTTTAACAGAAGTTGCTTTGGGTGTTTCTGTAAGTGCTTGAATTAATAATGTTTTTTTTTTTTTTAAATCAAATACTACGATGTCACACACTGCTTACGGCGGTTTTTATAGCCACATGCTCAGTCCCAGTCCCTGTGAATTAAAGCTCTTCTACATTTACGCCTGTTCATGTTCAGTGCAAGGTACTCCTTTGTTGTGTGTGAATGCCATGTTTACATTGATACCACGGATGTCCTATTCAAAGTATAGTTTTGCTACAAAATAAATCCTGTTTTCATGAACATTTCTTCATTAAAAACAAGCAAATAAATAGAGAATAATCAAGTAAAGTCAAAGAAATGGCTTCAGTGGGTAAAAAGTAGTGAATGCAGCTCCAGTGGCCCTCATGTCACAAATCCATACCAGACATCAGTAACCTCAGTTATTAGAAATGTGCTTGTGGATAAAGTAAAAAAAAAAATTATTCTATTCTCATATGCCTCAAGTTCCTTTGGTGTGAAACGTGGAGATTCAACACAATCACTGTTAGTTTGATGTTATCTTTTATTGTCACTTTCAATAAGTTGTGATCCTGTTAAGTGTTTCTCATTTCTCCTAAATCCTTTAAATTCACTTTGTGTTTTTATCCAGACTCATTTCACTATAGCCTTATCTTAAAGGGAGGGTGCTATTTAAAATAAACTTTTTTGAGCTTTACGTCATGTTTTAATGTTATTGCCTCATTTAAAAACATACCTGGAGTGTTGCTTTGATTCCTTTAATCTCCTCCGGCTGCTGTTTGCGGTGCCTGAACGCTTGCTCTCGCTCGGCGCTGCCTTTTCCACGCAGATCACCCATCCTCCATGACACTCCCTTACTCAGCTCTTTCAGACTAGTGGCAGCAACAATTAGCAAACACCTGGTGGAACTGCGCATCTGCTGAGCTTATTATATAAACTACTTTTCAATGCTCCTAAGATCATTGTTAAAGGCTTAATGGAGAAACATTGTTGTGATGATGTGCTGAAGGCAGAGGGTGGAAAGAGCAGGAGCCTCTTAAAAAGGAGAGAGGCACAGTTTCAAGGTTTTAATTTGCACACTTCTTTAAAGTCATGTTTGATACATATACTGCATTTTTGTAACAACTGAAGGTAACGCAGTTACTTGATTGTGCTATAAAATGGCACTCTGTGCCTAGACCTGTTAGGTACGAGCTGTGAGGTGCCACTCTTTTTGTCCCCTTGACTTCTCACTGAAGTTAAATTGGGTCATTTTAATATTTTATACATATTTAGTTATAGAGCTTCCTTGTTCAAAGATGTATTCTATGATATTAGCAGTATGTCAAATATGTGCAGATCCTCAACATTTGCATGCTCAGTTTCTTCTGTCTCTTCTTTCCTCTATTTTTTTTTTTTTTTCATTCTGCCTTCATTTCCTCTCCATCAGCAGCTAATCAACCTGAGACATGTCAAATCATTGGGTATGTGCTCTGCCTGGAATCAGGTTAATCTCCAGAATGTGGATAATTTAAGCCTAACATGACAGGATTGAATCCACATAAAGATAATTTCATTCCTATATTTTGTTCCAGTGGAGATGTCACATCCACTGGCAGTCATAGAGCAGTGGTTTCAAACCAATTTTAGGATGGAATCTATTTAAGAGATGTGATATATTTTTGATCTACTTTTGTACAGTACATCCTGAATTTAAAACGCGTTAGGTGTCTATTGCATTTTCTCTATATCTATTTACACCCAATGTAATCTGTTAGAAGAAGTTAATTGAGTTGGAAGTAAGTTGCTTTTTACATCAACTTTTCTTTTGGTGTGGCCCCCTCTTAGCATTTGGTCAGAATGAATGTCATGACCCGGGTGTTCCAGTCAACGGACAGAGGTATGGTGACCAGTTTCAGCTGGGCAGTTCGGTGGCTTTTCGCTGTGATCAAGGATTCATTAGGACACAGGTAAAAAAAAAAAAAGATATCTTACTACTTCAGATTCCTTTGCCCCCCGCCCCCATTTTTCTTGAGTAAAAAAGCAATTTTCCTGTCAGCTGCACATTTTTTCAAAAAGTAATTTTTTTCCCAGGGGTCGGATCAGGTCACTTGCATCATTCAGGATGGGAACGTCGTTTGGTCTGCCGCTGTTCCTCGATGTGAAGGTGAACATAAACAAACTTGCAATTTCTTCTCCGTATGTCTGAGCAAATGGTGATAATTATTTCACCAGACCAAAACTCAAATAATTTAAGTAAAATGCCTTTCTTCACTTCAACAGGAGTGTGAATTAATTTTTTTTAATTGCTTTTGGCCTCTCCACACTTATTTAGGCTGCTTATTTATAAACGCTGCCTCCAGTTATGCGAGTATATATATTCATATAAGCCTATATAAATTCAGGCAGGTGTTCATATCATTGCAAATAGGCCAACATGTTGGTGTAATGACAGAGGAACTCTGAACGTTCTATTATTTGAAGAGATTTTGAGAGTAATTCGCATCATTCCACGCACTGATGGTTATTTTTCTATTTGTCTCTTGCTTGTTAATTATATTGTCTAAATGACATTATTAAACTTTGCCTGCTGATAAATTAGATGGTGAAGATAAGCAAATTAAAGTGGTTCATCATCTCATTAAGTATGTAGGGTGGGGAGGGAGGAGCGTTCTGTTGGATGAGAAACATATTTGCATACTATGTATCTTTACTCATTTCCTCATGAATCTACAAAGTTCTGATGCCCAGCTCTTTAGAGTTTAAAAAAGTCACTGACTTGCTGAAAGTCCAGATTTAAGAGGGCAACTGGTAGGGATACAGTGTTTTAACCCAGGAGGAGTGGAACATGTTGGCAACATGTCAGTGTTTACAGCCAATATATCATATAAAAGTTAAAAGATAACATTTAAAAGATTTTTCTTGTCCCCTTTTTCCCCAAAGTCGTGAATCTATGAGTGATTTTAAAGCAGGTGACTTAACATTTAAATTTTAAAAATAATTAAAGTACTGATCTAAAGCCCACTCCAAACTTTACTCTTTTTGAATTCTAATAATTCATTAAAGAGGTGTTCTGATCTATAATCTAGTGTCTGCCTGCTGCTTTATGAGTTGCACAGATCTAAGGATACATTTTTCTGGCATAATTTGACACTTAAATATGCCTGAATTCTCCTATAAATTAGCATATTCTAATTATTTAAAGCGTTTTTCAAACAGGCGAAAGTTGGATTTGTTTACTTTACCAGAAGATTGGCTCAGCATAATTTCAGATCTAAACATTTTTGTGCAAATTGCAGACGTTCAAAAAGGATTAGAATGCTAAAATAAATTGAGCAGATGATAAATCTTCAAACTTAATGAAATGCAATCTTGGTTCTTGTACAAGGCAAAAATGATTAATTATATTATTCATCGTCGTCGTTGTGTGCATCTCTCTACGTGTATTTGTCTCCATCTTCCTCCAGCTCCCTGCGGAGGCCATCTCACAGCCCCTGCCGGTGTTGTACTGTCTCCTGGTTGGCCTTCCTTTTATAAAGATTCTCTCAACTGCCAGTGGGTCATTGAGGCACAGAAAGACCATGCTGTAAAAATACACTTTGACAAGTAAGTTATTTAATATTTTGCTTACAGAAGCATGGTTTACCACTTTTGCCTGCAGGTTTAATGTGGCTTCTGTGGTTGGTATGTTTTGGTTGCTTAGGTTGTATATAATTAAGTTGCTTAATCTTTACTGAGGTCTTTTTTTAAATTACAGCGTCAGATACGGATAAATAAAGTTTGTGAGTTACTGCAGCACATGATTAATGTTTGTTATTTGCACACATTTTTCTTGGAAACAAGCCATGGAAAAATGTGCTCAAGCTTGAACCCGCTATGGCTGAAATTTGTCTTTTTGGGACGTGACGTAAAATTCAAGTCATCTTCATCACCTGCGAGGCATTTCATTTGCGAAGTAATGCACATGTCCGTGGCAAAGGCTAGTTCATTTTTCACTGAGGTGGTCAGATATTGTTATGATGGATGACTGGCTCTCAAGGCCTGATTAGTTTTCAGCTAACATGCATTTGATTGCCGACATGAGAAATCAGTTTCTACTTGATTAATGAGTTACTAAGCAGCATAAGTATTGGTCCTAAATGAACTGATTTAGTTGTTTTGGTGTGCAGTACAAACGGTTTAATATTTTGGGGAGGAGTGGGGAGTCTATGATTTGGTGAACTAGAGTTAGGTAAGTTTATTGATATAGAACATTTTCAGCAACAAGGCAATTCAAAGTGCTTTACGTGAATTAAAAGGAAATACAAACAAAACAACAAACCAAAGGAAAGAACAAAAAGAGGAAAAAAAGAACTAAAAAAATAAATGTTGGTTCTCCATGTTTGATTCTATGAAGTAGATGGTGCTAAATGTTGATCTAAAGTATATAAACTTAATCTTCATGTTGTGGGTTGCTAAACAGAATAAGAATAGTAACAATAGATATGCAATTATGGGTGTTGGATTTGAATACAAGAACATTGCATCATAAAGTTAAGTTTTTGATTTTTTTTTTCACTACAGATGCTAATTAGAACTTAAAATAAATAAATAAATAAAATCCAGAAAACCTGAAATGCTCAAGAATACTTTTAAAGGTCATAAAAATATTAGATTTTTACCATGACACATTTGACTGTGTCTCATTTGACTATGTAAGTTATCAGAAATTTAGCTTAAGTTGACAAAAACAACAACAAAAATGCTTGTTGGTTCAGAAGCGTCATATGATGCAACGGCGACTGATAAACTAGTGCTCGGCGTTGAGCTGCCCGTACCAATTTAGCATCGGTTAGAACAACAACAAGAGGCTATAATCTGACAAATTGTTAAGCTGTTGTGTTTTTAATCAAATGTTTAGGTAGTGCATGAGTAAGCTCTTAAATTTGAATTAGTTTACTGTGCTGCAAGTGAAGTTATTAGCATATTCTTGCGTAACTAACTCATCTTTTGACAGCACTGCAGTCCAATTTTCTGTTAAACAATTAATTAGATAGTCGCTATTCCCGTCATGTACCTTTATGGTTGTCTGATTTAGTGTGTGCGTACTTCTTGCTTATTTGTTAAGGTTCCAGACGGAGGTAAACTATGACACACTGGAGATCAGAGACGGCCCGTCAGCCTCCTCCCCGCTGATTGGTGAATACCACGGCACCCAAGCGCCTCATTTCCTGATTTCCACATCCAACTTCCTGTTCCTGTTGTTCACCACTGACAACAGCCGGTCCTCAGCTGGTTTCAGCATCAGATATGAAAGTAAGACCGATGGAATAACTGATGGAGGTGTTTTTTTTTTTTGTTTTTTTTTGCAGACACTCATCCACTCACCCTCTTGACTCTGTCCATGTGCCATGTGGTTTTCAGGTGTGAGGATGGAGTCAGACTCATGCCTCGATCCCGGTATCCCAGTCAACGGCCGTCGCCATGGCAGTAGCTTTTCCATTGGCTCCCACGTCTCATTTGCATGCAACCCTGGATACACACTCAGTGATCAGGAGCCAATTGTTTGTGAGCAGAGTCACCAGTGGAGTCATGCTCTTCCCAGCTGCGATGGTTAGAATCTTTCTTTTCTTTCATTTCGGCTCTGTTCGTTCAGAGCTGTGAAAACTTTCATTTCTTCAATTGTAACACTGTGGAAATGTGGTCATCCGGAAAATAGTGAAGTCAGGGACGCCGCATCACCTTTGTAAAGAGAACCAAACCAAATTACAAAATGTATACGCATTGGCACAGCAGGTCAGTGTGGTCATCTTGTTTCTTTTAACCCCAAACTTATTGAAAAAAAAAAAGATTTTAAAGAGTTTAAAAACTACATTTACAACTTGCTTAATATAACCCTTAAAAAAAAACTACCAGTGCCATTTTGCAACCTTTATGTTTGTCAGTACAAAAGGAGGGATGCCGAAGTAACCCTGTTTTTTCATAACCCCACTGGACTCTTGTTCTAAGCTCAGTCAGGCAAGACTTTCTTTGTGTAGTTTCCATGAGATTAACTTGTGATTTTTAAACTGATCTTGGCTGTTAGTGAATGTAAAGTCATAGTTGTGCTTGTGTGGATGGATCTTTAGCTGATACTAAATGTAGAATGCTAGCCGGATTTCTCTTTCAGTTGATATTGCTGAAGTGAAAATGTACATCTAATCAACATGTTGAAAGGAAGGAAATGAGAGGAAGACCATCATATGCAATCCCAGTTAGACACGTTTCCATGTTGTTACTTTCAGGTGGTTTCAATGGAGATTTTGCGACATTTTGCAATAAAAAACAAGCTTGAAAGGCTTTTCATGAGAGCCACCTACATTCACAGCTCAGCTTCTCAACAAATGGATTTACTTTACAAAATTAGCATAAGTTAAGAGGAATATGAAGAGGGTTTGCAATGGTATATTATTTACTGCCAAGATACATTGATACAACAAAGAAATAGTCAATCAACACAAATTTCCTTACTTGCAAAGTAATTTTTTTTAATGGTTTCATTCAGCTGTAAAAGCTGTAAAAACAAACATGCTCTTAGACACTTGCCTGTTATTCTTCCAGTTTTGTGACTGCACATCGTGTTTGACAACCCTAAAAAAGATGGGGACGTGAACGACCAGGATTTGTGTAGGATAATCCCTTGTATCTCACTTGTTCACTTCAGGGCTGGGGTGTAAAAAAAGGATTAATGTCCTTAAAGCTGTTCTTAATGGTATGCAAGGAAATTGAAAACATCTATGGTTTATTTAAAATAAACTCTGGGGAAATTTCACAACGGTACTTTAGGTTGTTTAGGGTACCTAAATATATGCAAATCTGTCTCTCTGTACTGATGCAAGTTTCCCAGATTTAAATGTAAGACCACTATTCTTATATGTTTATGAAAATTACAATCAGAGCATCATATTTTGCATTTTCAAAGACCATAGTGTGTTTTGATGTGGGAAGGGGAACAGAGACCTGCTGTGCGCCTGTCTTTACCAAACGAACAGGTCAGGAATGAGGAGAATTTATAGTTCATCCTCTCTTCTTCACTAAGATCCAGTTGATCTTAGTGAATTGATGTTAGTAAATTGGATCTTCGTGAGTTTTTCCACAGTTTGTTAAAAGCTCACTGAATAATTTCTCCTGCTCTCAGCTCTTGTACCAAGAATGAGATGAAACGACTGTTTCTTTTCAGTTATTAAGTTATTCCAATTTAGTAGACTTTGTGTACTAATTTCACATTGGGTGGCATTGCTGTTTTCTTCACTGCAGCATCACCCAATGACTTAGAAATTTTATTCTGATGGGTTTCTCCCAGTCAGAGGTGATTCTGCGATTTTACAGTCCGTTTCCACCCAAAATGGGGTGTTTCTTTTTCCAGGGCAAGGAAGTGACATGATCTGATATTACTGGCTGCACAGCATTAGTAACTAGCACATACATTAATGCTGACCTTTACATTTTGGAGCAATTTTAGTCAGTTGAACAGACTTATAGAGTGTATGCAAATGTAGGAAAAGGTAGTTCCTTGCTTAGCATATTCAAATCCACGTAGCTTTTCTCCTACTTGCTGACAAACGTTATAAAACTTTCTGCTTAAGAATAATCTAAAATGTATTCTACTTTTTATTACTCTACAAAATAAAACTAATTAAAAGCATCAAGGAAACTCTCCACCATCCTGTTCCAGCTCAGTTGCTTGTGGTGATGTTTTATTTATAGTAATACAGAGCACGGAGTGACGGTTGCTGCAGTAACATCAGGGTCATCTACGACTCTGACTCAGCTTCAAAATAGTCATCTTGTGTTGAGGTAAATATTTTGAGAACAGCATATTTACCCTGGAACCTCTTTGCTTGTTTTAATTACACAGTAATAACCGTTATTGTCCATCACATTGCAATGGTAAAAAAAATAAAAATAATCAAAAATTTTATAAAATAAAACAAAAATAATTATTACAAAAGTTCACATATGAAATTTTTGTAAACATGTTCAAAAAGTCATACCAAAACACATCACATTAGTGTTGTTCACAGTTTTCTATCTCCTTTTGAAAATTAAATCAGAAGCGAGGAACTCGGAGGAAAAAAGATGAGGCAGTGTGTTTTAAAGGAAATGAGATACCCTGCTATGACAACCTCGTCTTCTTTCTTTTTTCACTGTTTGCAACTGACAGCTGGACTGTTGATTGTGTGATCAGTCCTTACTCCCTTAAAAAAAGATTCCTGTAATAACTTAAGTTCAGTGAAATTACAAAAACTCAACAAGCACTGCAGAAACAGATGCTCGGTGGGCATTCACCATCTTCGCCCTCCAGTAATAACAGTTCATGTTATTACTTGAGATGAATCCGGCAAGTTCGATTTCATCTCCCAATCGGAAAGAATCCAATTTGAAAACTAAAGTCAGGATGTCTCTACTTTGGAGCGATTTTTACATCGAGCCTCTCTGCCTCACACTATCTTCTGTATCATGTGAACATTTTGTTAAACGACCGCTGTGACATTTTCAGTTTGTTTCAACAAGCATTCCATGTCACCAGACGGATGTCATATGACAGGATACATCATTTCTGAATGACACTTTTATAAAACAGCACTGAGCCTTGACTCAAGTGTGATATGTCATAGTTTGCCTGTGGGGAAGTGCACAATATTTTAAACACGTCACATCTCTCTCTCTCTCTCTATATATATATATATATATATATATATATATATATATATATATATATATATATATATATTATTATTTAATTATCTCTGTTTTAATAAAATAGAAAAAAACTGGAAGAAACATTTGCATTTGTTCATGAAGTATGTTTTTTTTATTTTTATGGGACTGTGCAATGTGCCAGTGTTGCAAGCCAAAATTAGCCGTCCCCCCTAACTGGTCTTCTGTTTTTGCTTTGCTGTCTCACAGTTTTCTCAAACAAGTTTTATTATCACACAAAAGAACCTGTCTAGATACAACTCAGTTTTCAAATTAATTCTATTAGGGCGAAGGAGTTCAAGTCAAAATTTCCCAATGAGAAATAGTTTGCTGAAGTTATGTGACACATACTGTACACTTTCAGTGATTTTTCAGACAGCTAAGTTCCCCTGGAACATGGAACAATTGGGAACATAAGCAGAAGTTAATCCCAATGACTAAATGATTCATCAGAGAGGTCACAAAAGAACCCAGGGCAACAACTAATGCACCGGAGACCTTACCTGCCTCCAGGTCAGTATTCATGTTTCAGCAATAAGAAAGACAGTCAGACATGGAGATAGTAGTGAGATGGCCTGGGGCTTCTCTGCTGCTTCATGACCTGGAAATCTTGCCATCGTTATCAAAATCAAGAAATCTGCTTATTCCTAGAAAGTCTTCAATAGGCTTTCCACTTTGGGACTCAAAGTGCAAGCACAGTGGCGTAATGCAGTAAGATACAGACCTGAAGCACATCAGCAAGTCCACCTTGGAATGGCTAAAAAAAAAAAAAAGTCAAGGTTTTGAAATGACCTCATTAAAGTCTGGACATAAATCCAATTGAGATGCTGCGGCATAACCTTAAAAGAGCTATTCATGCTTGAAAACCGTCTAATGTGGCCGAATTAAAACAATTCTGCAGAAAAGAGTGGACCTGCTCAGGGATGTAGAAATGCCAGTAATGACAAGCAAGGAGACGGCAAGAGATGGGAAAACAGTTGTGTTGAAGGGGCAGTCACTTTTTCACATAAGGTAAAGTTGTTTTGGAAAAGTGATTTCCATTATTAAGCTAAATCATCATTTGATTGCAAATAAGTGCAAGTGTCTTGCACTTATTCAAGTTGTCTTTATATCTTAAACTGGAACTTTATGTCCTAAACTTCAAGGAGGCAATTACAATTTCAAAGTTCCTTTTCTACTCAGGAAAAAAAAACTGCAGAGACAAGGAGGGGATCTGTAGACATTCTGTAGCAGCTCACACACTCATTAAAATCAGTGGTTTTGTGTGGGAGAAAAGTCATGGAGGCAAAGTAACCGCTTAATACCGCCACTCTGAACTTTAGACAACGTGGTCAGAAAAAGAAGTACACTCCCCATAAGCATTTACCCACTCTGCACTTTCAGTGGTCCCACAAAGTCCACTAAATCAAAACTGCTCATCTTGTTCCTGAAGGTCAGCTAAATTGCCAAATAGATAATACAGAACAGGGGCTGCTCTTTTTTTGTGCCAGGGAGAGCACTGAAAGAGTGCTGTGACATTTTAAAGGTTTGTAGTTGGTAGCAAGACAATAACTTGTTAAAAGTGACCAAAGTCATCTTTTTTTTCCCGTTTCAATTAAATAATATGTCAACACAGTCCCTGAGAGAGCGAGTTAATTAAACAAAGCAGAACATTTGGCAAAAGAAATGACAGCATTATATAACAATATCTTTAAATACCCCCCTCTCTTTTCTCTGAAAACAAGGTTCATTTGTGACTTTTCTTCCAGAATGCGTTACTGCTTCTTGAATTCTTGTTAGGCATGAATCATCTTTTACTCTTTTTATGCATTGTGGTAGAACTCTGAGCTTCTTTCTTTCTTTCTTTTTCTTTCTTTTATTTATTTATTTACTTA